CTTGCCTCCAGAAGCTGCTCTACAAGCAGAAAGGAACAGAAAATAGTACACAATGAAGAGGGCTATCACAACAGGCTCAGATCTGAGCATTTTTCTTTATTCTTCCATTCTCCCTGCATATGCTGATCTCACATCACCTAAGCTTAAACAACAGGGCAGAAGTGAGGAATCATACGAATTACAAATGAACAACATTGAGGAGGCCACTCATTGTCCAGCCTTGATCTAGCCTCTGCCAAGATCTCTCCCCCATCCCTTTCCAAATTAACATTGATAACATTGTGAATGGCTCTGTCCTTTTGAATAATTTTCAATGCTGGTCAAGACTAGCTCCAGGGAGCTATGATATTTTTCCATGTATAAGATGCTACTTTTTCCTAAAATCATTACACTGAAAATTGAGAGGTGTCTTATACATGGAAGTAAGCTGAGGAGAGAACAAAATGGCCCATACCTTGCCTCTGTAAACAGGCTTCCTTGAATGACGAGGCTTAGCTTCCTATAGTCAGGAGACTTAGCTTCCTCCAGTCAAGAGCCTTATGGAACTGACGCCAGCTGATGCTCAACAAACCAACTGCAAGAGTGCTCAGATCCAAAAGGGACTGCTAATGTCCGAATATTCTGAGCCCAGAGGTTGAATACTCAAAGCTAAGTTTTCTTAATTTTTAGGTTAGAAGGGGAGGTAACTTATAAACGGGGCATCTTATAAATAGAAAAATGTATGTACCATCTATTAAACATATTTGTATGACCATGGAGTCTGGCAGGTTTACTTGGTTATGTTCAGAGTGTCTAGATCTAAATGCCTATTCAGTTCCCTAGATTATAGGCATGACTGCAAATTTGAACGGTGGCTAGATCCAGCTGCCTGCCTTGCACTGTTTGAACTTTTCAGCTTGGGAAAAAGCTGAATGTAAACAGGACCTAGGGAAAATATCAGCAATCAGCTCTATTAGGGTGCTGGGGCCGTGGCAGCTGCCCAATAATGCCAAGCACGGACACTCAAGGTTGCTTCAAGGTATTTTCCTGCTGATGCAAAGGGCAAGATGGTGCCCCCTTGCACTCCATGTACAGAAGTGGACTGGACTGGCAGCTGAAATTTTACTTCAACACCCATGGTAGGATGCTGCTCCTCACAACACCTGAGGAGAGCAAGTCAGTTAAGGAGATGCAGGATATTTGTGTGGCAAAAACGGCCAATCATACAGCATTTTACTTCCAGTGGCTGCTTCACCCTGGCTTTATGGTGGCAGTGGCCTTCCAGTACAAGGCTAAGTAAAGGAGCTGATAGCAGTGGTGGCCTCTGAAGGCATGTTACTTGAGATGTCTGTATACAACAGCAAGGACTCTGAAACCTATTTCAGGAAATGAATGGGTGTAAAAGTTCTCTGAGCCAGGGGCTGGCTGACATGTGGCCTTCCAGATGCTCTTAACTGCAATTCTTATCATCCTAGCCAGTACAGGTAATGTTGAGGAACTGCAGGAATGTGCTTCTATTGGATGTCCATGACAACTTGACTAGGGCCACATGTTGCCTATCCCAGCGCTAAACCAGCGGACATTGTCTTCCAAGGCCTTCTCTCACATGTACCTAACCTTAGATTTGTTCATGATTACCGATTACTGAATCTACATTTCCTCTGCTTGTAAGGTTCTGAAACCTTTGACAAGACCTATAATATAATACTGCAATTAAGAATTGTCTGTTTAAGCATAAATAATCATTTTCCTGATGATGGAGCCAGAGGTTGGGTGTTCAGTTCTCCACTGTGCCTCCTCAACAGGGGCTGGACTTGATAATCCATAGGGATTATTCCAACCCTGCAGTGGTGATTAAGATTTGTTTATTTTTAAAAATTTCTTTTCACATTACCAGATGCTGTAAAAATAGGCTGACGCTAAACTACACATTGTACAAACATACAATAAAAAGATACCTGGCCAAATATAATTTGCAATACTGCAAAGTATTATGAATATGTTAGTCAAAGACTTATTTCAAAAACTCTTTTGAATTCATCTTGACCTTGACAGGTTTCCTTTCCTTCAACAGAATAAACTTTCCTTTCCCCCCTTTGACTCCAACAAAGCAAGACATATTTGCTAATCTGATGCCCCAGGGATTTTTCTGTACTCTGAACACACACAGAAATGCGCTCACATTTTCAATCAGCACATAATGACAGACTGCAAAAGGGTCTATCGTGAAGGTGCTGAAGCAGAGTTCCTGGAAACAAATATATTCTTAATTCAATCTCTCTTCTAGTTAAACCAAACAGCTGTGTAGAGATGCAGGAAAGAAAATACAGCGCTGAGTGATAACAAATACTGTATACATTCAGCATTTTTTTTTGCTAAATGTAGTATATTAACATCACAATTTTAGATGTATTCACTCATTAAATTTTACTGAGTTCAGTCTCATTACTCCTGCTAAGCATATACAAGATCCCACCCTAACTGTGATTCAGTGCATCTTGATTAATAAATTAATCTACTGAATTCAAAGGGACTTTCCTGGGGGAAAGCCCCAGAGACCTCAACAGAACTGGAGTAGATACGGGTAGGATTGCAATGTTTTATAATACTGTATAGTACAACAATCATAACTATGTGCTGTTGAGCCTATTCTGATTTATTCTGCCAATTGTGAATATAATTTCCAGGGTTCTCGAAGCAGAGCACACACAGAAGTGAGTTACCATTCCCTTCTTCTGGGGGCATCCTGAGACTGTACAGGTTGTCCAAGGCTACACAGGCTGGCTCTTTTGGGAGGAACAGTGGGAATCGAACTCCCAACCTCTAGCTCCATAGCCAGATGCCTAACCCACATGTCATGTTTTACTTAACTAAGTCACAAAGGAAGCAAAACCAGGGAGCTGGACAGGGGACAGATTGGATTTGTCTTTAGTGTGGAAGAGATTGTAACTCTCGAATTGGCCTTCTCAGCCACACTAGACGCTGTTCCAAGTCCTCCATACAGAGCACGCTACCATAGTCTTTCGAGACTGAAGGATGCCTACTACTACTATAAAATCTAGAATTAAGCCCTATTAGAGAGGGAGTTAATAACAAAGCAAAGCATGAGATCACTCTGAAGAGGACAGGTTTCTGGCTACCCTTTTTTGCACATGTTAATTTTATCTCCAGGTTGATGTTGGCTCTTCAGCTGAACATACGACCCTCAGAAGAGCCCTGCTGGATTGGATCACAGTCCAGCATTCTTGTTGTGGGAGGCCGCACAAGCCAGACACAGTGCAACCCCCCCCCAACCCCTACCTGAGTTCCCTAGCAATTAAATATGGAGACACACTATCCCACTGGCAGTGGAGGGAATATATTATACCCATCATAACTAACTCTGTGGTTTTAATAGGTAACCTATCTCTGTTTATTACCTTCGTGACCCACTCTCGCTCCAAGGAGTTCAGGGCGGAATTATACAAGGTTTTTCTTCTTCTCACCAACCCTCAAGCCATGCAAAGCAGCTAACTGGATTAGAAAGAGATAGTGACTAACCTACAAGTCACCCTGTGCATCTCATACCTAAGCAGGAGGACCTGGAGCTCAGTGTTCCTCCTGCCCTTCCCTCTTGCACAGAAAACACTGCAACACGGTTGGGCTTTCAGAACTGGTCCTATACAGAGGAACCAACAGATTCCCTCCACCTTAACACACCAGTGTTTTTAGCATCCTCTGTACAGATGTGCATACAACGTAGGGGCAAAAATCCTAGTTTCATCCAAGTGAGCAGCTAAAGGTCCTCTGCAGCAGTCAAGACCCTGAACTTCTCAAACCAGACTTCTGAAGGAAAGGGAGGCTGTCTCTTTGAGGTTGGAGCCAAATGCCCTGGGACAGCATTGAAAGCTACAGTTTGTTCTTATGCTACATCCCTTTCAGAGCAGAGGGGAAGATTCGTATTGTCTGAATGCAAGTGTCTCTTGCACAGGTTCCCGAAGCAGGGAACCGATCGTCGTCAACCGGATTTTCCCCATACAAACATTGTTTTGCGATCGCTATAACGATCGCAAAATACTCATCATCAAGCGATTTCGTCGTCTAAAGAGGTAATCGTCAAGCGGAGCACCACTGTAATTTTTACATTCAAAGGTAAACGTTCACTGATTTTAAAAAAAGGCTTCTTTTGCTCCACCGCAGGGGCACCCCGTTCAAAAGGAGGTTTGACAAACGGGTCATAAAAGGTAAACAACGTGTTTACTTGGGGGGGGGGAGATCAACTTAGACGCCGCACATACACCCCCCGAAGAGGTTTACTAGATTTAGGATTGCCGCTCAGGTGAGCGAGCAGGCATAGGATTGCAGGCATAGGATTGCACTCCCTTCTTGTGCCTTCGTCGCCACTGCGCGATCCCGCCTCCGATCGCGCGAGCTTTCAGCCTGAAGAGCCAGCCACCTTACTCAGGACTAATCGATCGGAAGCGACGCGACAAGTGGCTGGAGGAAGGCAAGCCTCCACGGCCGGGGAGGTTGCGGGAGGGTGCAAGAGCCGTGCTTGGCAGCTGCAGGGCGCCGCTCGCTTTTGGGGAGGGGAGGGGACTGGGTGGGTGCGTGGGTGGGTGGGTGTGCAAGCAAAGCGCCCCAGGACTCCCAACAACAACGCCCCCTCACACACAGGCTCTCAGGTTGCAAGCGCGGACTGAAAAAAACTTCTCTTTTAAAGTGCGGCGGCTCTCGATCCCGTCTACGTTTCGGAGCAAACGAGAATAAGCCGGAGATCAGGAACGCAAAACTCTGCCGCTCCGAATTCAAACTGGATCTAGTTTCTGGAGGGTTGAACGAGTGGACTCCCACCATCCCACTCTCTCTCTCTCCCCCCCCAGTTCCTTACAAGGTGACAGTAACCGGGGGACGGACAGCTTTGCAAACGGTGGGCGGGCAAGCCCCTTCTTTGCCCGCTTGCAGCGCGCGCGCTTTCGGCCCCTGCCTAGGGAGCCCCGCATTCATCTTCTCCGTCGTCAGAACCCACAGGTCTCTCCTACCGTGTACTTCATCCTCGCCGGCGTGTTCAGGGGTCCACGCACCCGCTCTTCTTCCTCGTGGCGAGAACAGCCCGTTTACATGGAGACCTTCTCCTCCGCTTCGCTGCCTCCCAAATAGCGAAAATGAAAAACTGCCTCCGGAGTCGAGCTCGCCGGGCGCTCTCGGCCAAGCGAGGGAACTTCGGCGCTGCTCGGGTCCCGCCGACTCACTCTCTGAGTTCATTGTTTTGCTTGCGGCGGGCAAACCGCGGCTGCATTTGCATAGCTCCCAGCGATTGGCTGGAGAGCGCGACGCAGAAGAAGGGAGGGGGGAGGAGGAGGAGGAGGGAAGCCCTTCTTGTCAGCCCCCCCACCTTCTCCGTTTAGACCGGGGGGGGGGCTCAGTCGAAGCTCCTTTTGCTACGGGAGAAAGTAGAGAGGGAGGAGGGGGCTGGAAGACTGAGGGACCTTTTTTTTTTTGGTAGGCATCCTTCAGTCTCGAGAGACTATGGTAACGGGATCCAAAACTGAGCTAAAACAAGGTTTCTTTCCTGCTTTAGCATCCGATTCCTGAATCAGCCTCTCTCACTTTTTGCACGGAGTGGACTTTCAGATCTAAGCGATGTCTGTCTGTCTGTTTGCCCCTTTTTCTGCTACGTGCTCAGGTCAGAATCTTTCTAAAAGTTTCAATGTGGGGTCGTCTGAATGTCAGATTGATTTGCTGCCCACCCTCTTTTTTTAGCCTTAAGTTCTGGGGAAAAAAATCAAATACTAAAATTTTCATTTAGAACATAAAATTTCTCTTTACAATTGCAACTCAGTTAAGTATCTAAGAGGCAGTGGCCAGAGCCGCAATGGTTATTTACACCAGCAGAAGTGCAATGGTGTGAAGAAAATGGCTGCTTGTTAACAAGTGTCCGGTTATACCCTTCGTCCTGCGCAAGTCACTTCAACTGGTGGTACCTGAGAAAGAATGTAAGAGGCAACTGGTTAACTAGCAGCAGTTCATTGCTACAGTTTGCACCTCTGCATAGATTCTAGCCAGCCAGTTATACAAGGTAGACTTAAAGACCATTGGATTGCACCTTGGGAGATTCAGGTCTGAGTCCCGACAGAGCCATGAAACTCAATGGCTGGGTAAGCATGGAGCATCCACTTTACGTCAAGTAGCCTGACCTACCTTGCATGTTGTTGTTTTGATTAAGAAGCCAGAAAGAGAGTTGTGTATGTCATCTTGAACTCAATGAGGGATAGGTAGGATATTAACATAGTCGAGAAATATGTTGCGCATGGACTAATGTAAAACATAAATGATCAGATTCCTGCAGAGGAATCAAATATACAGTATATGGTTCAAATATATCTGCCACAAACTCATTGCTTGGATTCAGACATGCCTAGGTGGAAACCATCACCAATAAATGGGGATAAATAGATCGGCTTATTTAACAGGGTCCTTTATATAGGCAATGCCTCTCGACCCTCTAATAGTTGAAGTCTTTTGTTTCTGAGAAAAATGGGGGAATATCATAGTGACCTAGAACTGTTTTGCACTGCAGCTCCCATGGATTTAAAATTTCTGATTATGCGCAAAATCCTGAAATAGCCCATGAACTCCTCCACTGAGGCCACAGATGACAGATTCCTGCTTTCCAGGCCCCTGAACCCATGGACTTTGCCTCTGACTATTGAAATCCAGGACCACAGTGAACAACCCCCATTGTCCCTGGTAACCATTCCTCCATTCCACTTGCTCTTGGAGACATCCTGGCTTCATGATCCTCAGATTTTCTGGTGCTGAAGAAAAGTTCCCTTTCAGTCCCTTCACTATGGCAAGTGCTGCCAGCCAGAGAGAGGGAGCCTGGCTATTGCCACCAGCTCTCATTCCCCAGTGCAATTCTGTCACTGAAATATGAAGACTAGCAGGGTGTCTTTGATAAGAAACAGGTTAACAAGTTGCTCCCACGGTGTCAAAATTAATTTGGTTTGGAGTGCCTTGTTGCCAGCAGGGTGGAGTTAGTCCCTGGTAGTAACCAAATTCAATGCCCTGCAAGACTGTTTGGATAAGCATTTAAAAGAAGAGGTTTATTTGGCTCTCTAACTCCCTGATAGCTTTTCCAGTAATCTTTGTGAGCAGTAAATGTGGTGCATTAAGGCTATGCAAAGATTACCAGGCCCTACACATTGGTACCCACTGCCTGGATTGCCCAACTGCTAGAAAAAAAAACTTTGAAGGACCATAGTGTAAACAAAGTTGGACTTGCAGGCTGCTTATAACCTGACCTGCAGCCAAGAAAAGAATAAGTGGAAAACAGCATTCCAGACAAGGTACAGCCCCCATTATCATGCATTTTTCCAATACCCCCGCTGGGGTCCTGCATTTCATGAAAAATCTGTTTCGAGACTACCCCCAGTCACTGCATTACCATCTGTCTCAATGATTTCCTTATCTGTTTCCCTGGTTATCCAATGATTTTGAGGGCCCAAGACCCTCAGGATTTTGCTGTTTGGATTTGCCATGCTGGTCTCCCTTGAGAGACCACTGCATCCTGTCTGGACAGGACGACTGCTCCCCAGCTCAATAGCAATCAGCAAACAGAGAACAGGGCAGCTGGGGCTAATGCCCAAAACACTGGAAGGATGATACAGTATATTGAGGCAGGTTAATAATCTAACACAGAGCAACCTATGCCATGTTTTCTAGGTGACCCTGTGGAAGAGTCAAGTGCAGAACAGGATCTCCCACAGAGAGTCTAAGGGCAACTTCTTGTGAGGGTTTTTGGAGTACATCTCAGTGGTCCATCTGGAGAAATTTTGGTCAGTCCTATAGGTAGGAGAACAAGTACCAGTCTGATAGGAAAATACCTTTTGATCAACATTCTAGAAACCTGGTGCCAGCTAGAGGAAACAAGATCGATGTCGTTGGGCAAGTAGTGCGAACTGGTGTAAGTAGGCAGCGCTGCCTGTGATTTACAGCAACCCAAGGGGAAGAATAGCTGAGCAAAGATCTGATGAAGAGTTGGCATGGGAGTTAGTAGACTTAGGTTCTAGTCGCTGCTCAACCAGGAAAATCTCTAGGTAAACCTGGGGGGTACTCAGTCTATTCCTAGGTAAATTGATGTTGAGGAAACCACTGGGTGTGCTGGTCATCATAAGGAAAGTCCAGCAGCATTTACAACTAATGCAGTTTTTATTACAGAACTCTTTACAAGGGCGTCACAGAAACTTCTCTTAGTCCCTCTGTACCCTATGGTCCAGTCCCTTAGTCACTCCTGGGTGGTCCCACTTCACTCCCAGTGATCACAAGTCTCAAGCACAAACAGAAAGGAAACAGCTCATAGTGGGATCTCTCCTTCTTTCAAGTCCTGGGCCACTTGGTAGAGTCTCTCATATTGTCTCTGAGCTCTTCACTTTGTCAGTTGGGTTGGAGTTGGCGTGACCCTTTGAGCTGGGGTCTCCCCATGTTCTGCTGGCAGGATGGCCCAGAGACCCCTGGTAAATCCATATCCTTCAGACATGAACCAAAGGGCTTGACCCCTGCTGCATTCGGGAGCGCTAAGTTCCGTGGAGAAGGCTCACCAGAGAGAGATGATCTGGCAAAATAGGCATAGAGTGGTGGATTTGCCCACTCTAGGGTGTCAGTCCACTCCTTGGCTCCACTCTCCTTTTTTTCTGCCTCTGTTGAACTCTCCACCTCTGTCCTTCCCACTGTCTCTCTATTTCTTTTTCTGTCTTCCTTGCAGGCTCCCATTGCCCTCCAGTTGCTTCCTCTTTTATAATCCCTACCTGACAGAAATCTGCCCCCTTTTCGTCCTCCCCCCCTTCCCATATCCTTCAGTGCAATAACTGGGAAAAAATGTCACTCCTCCCAGGTAATGGCCTGGGGAAGGAAGCCATTCATAGTCTTCAGTTGAGCTTCGGCTGCCCCCCCCACCCCCGGCAGGGAAGACACCAAGGTCAACCTCAGCTGTGGGCTAGTGCTGACAGATTTACCAGTCTCAGAGGTTTGTTGTAAGCATAAAATGGGAAGCGGAGGAAAAGTAGGGCACCAATATAACAACGGAATAACTAATTAACTAAAACAAACAAACCAAAATAGTGTCCACTCTTATTCTATCTACAAAATCTAACCACACTGGTAGGTTTTTTCTTCAACAGAATTGATAGGGCAGCATATAGATGGAAGATGCAAGCAAGCCTGGTGGTGGTGGTAATGGCAGGCAGATGCTTCCTCTCTCTAACACCTTGCTGCCACCTCACAGCATCCACTGTTTAAGGTGGCAAGCTCACTCTCCCTAATGGTAGGGCCTGCCATTCTTTTGTTCTCAAAATGCAAGCAAGCAAGCAGATTAAGTAAGGAAATAAGCAAGTGCCAATATGATATCCATTCTCTGCATTGAAGATTTTTAGCTACATACAGTATGTAGATTCGTTTTAAAGCACAGGAAACTGCAGAGATAGATGTTTTTTAGCATACCACAGAATTTTAATTTCATGAAAGTAATTTCTCCTATGGGGAACAGAATCAAGGGGGACTTTTAAAAAGAAAAAGAAATGATTAATAATAAATGAGTCATTTTTTATATTAAAATTGAGGAACAAAGGTAACTCTTCTGCAAGTTTTCCTGAATAATGGCCTGGCCTCCCTAACCATCCACTTTAATATTCTAGATCCCTCATTGCTAGTTTTCCTAATGAGATGGTCTCATAACACTTCAGCCATTGTTTTCATGATCAAAAAGGCAAAGATCCATTTTTCATGGGAACAAACTTCTTATTTATGTGTTCATTAGATGCTGGTTTAAAATGACCCAGATTGCCTTTTTTCCCCCTCTTCTGTCTTTTTCTTCTTCTTCTTTTTAAATGATGGGCAAATCAGAAAAGCCACCACGGTTCATTTGGGGGCATGACAGAAATGAATCAAATGTGAAATGCTGTTTCTATACTTTATAACTGGGCCTCTTTATTAGGTTGAGATGATTCCTGGCCAGACATTCACTATCTTGACTGGGAGGAACTCCAGGCAGACAAAATGATTTGGACTAAAAAAAAAAAATCTCCAGTCTGAGTCTCAAAGCATTCCGCTGGTGAGAGCTCAACGTTTGTTTCTTTTATTCTGACCAACTTGGACCTGCCCCAGTATTTCTGAGGCACAGATGGACTCGGATGGCTTCCAGCAGTCTAAAAAATGAACAGTAGGCTGTATTCTGTTACCCGATTACTGTAGAAG